GTTAATTAATCTTAAATTATCTTTTAAGTAATGTATCATAGTATTATATATATGGCATATAATTAATTTCTGACATTTTGAAATTTTTATGTAGTCGATCACATGCAATTTTCACAATCACACTGGAACAAATGAACAAGACAATCTCGAATGATTCTATGTGTGATGAATATTTGTGTGCCAAGTTGCATTTAGTTGATCTTGCTGGTTCAGAAAGGGCTAAAAGAACAGGTTCTGATGGTATGCGGTTCAAAGAAGGTAGGTGATGATATTTATTACATATCTTTAAAACAAAAATTCCAATTTTGCCCCACTCAAAAAGATGGGCCAGGGCTGTACTGTGTCTGACCTACATTGGACTGGGATTGATGTCAATAGGATAAAAATTGTAATTTTTTGTCCCACTCAAAAAGGTGGGACAGAATTGTACTGTGCTTGGTGTGCACTGGACCGAAACCAGGACTGAGTGGACAAAAGTTGCAGTTTTTGTCCCACACAAAAGACATAAATGCCCTCATCCTCATTATTGGAAATAACTTAATTTGTTGAACAGGAGTTCATATTAATAAGGGGCTACTTGCACTTGGAAATGTCATAAGTGCCCTTGGTGATGAGAAAAAACGAAAAGAAGGTGCTCATGTTCCATATAGAGATAGTAAACTTACTCGCCTCTTACAGGTTGAACATTATTACTTAACTACTTTTTTTATGCAACTTGATTTATTTCTTATAGTTTAATCTAAATATGTTTTACCAAACTGACAGGACTCACTTGGTGGGAACAGCAGAACTGTTATGATAGGTAACATATAAACCAAACACTAGTTTATAATTTATAATTTTGTTTACTATTTAAGCTCATTTAAAATCTTTGGTACTAAGTAAACATATAATTTCACCTTATTTCAGCTTGTGTTAGTCCTGCTGATATAAATGCTGAGGAGACTCTCAACACTTTAAAGTATGCAAACCGGGCTCGGAATATCCAGAATAAGCCTGTGGTAAGTTTAGGGTTATATGCAAGAAATAGCAACCTACTTTCATTTATTTGCTTATTATAGAAAAAAAATGAAAGTGTGATGCTATAATACACAAATAAATGAAACTACATTTTAATTTTGTATTTTATAAACAATTTAATAGGTGAATAGGGATCCAGTGTCTAGTGAAATGTTAAAGATGCGCCAACAACTAGAATGCTTGCAAGCAGAACTTTGTGCTCGTGGTGGAGGTTCTACTGTTGAATTACAGGTATAAATTATAATATGAATATCATATTTATTTTATATAATAAAATCTTTATTGTTTAATTTCTTATGAATTTATTGCGTCACATAAACATTATTTAGGTCCTAAGGGAACGGATTTCTTGGCTTGAAGCTACAAATCAGGATCTATGTCGCGAACTTCATGAGTATCGCAGCAGGGGTGTCGCTATCGATCATCAATCCGTCACTAAAAGTATGTAAACATTTATAACTTTTGTCGCAATTTATAGAAAAAATAACAAATTGTGCTCCAATTTTTTAGGTTGGTGATTCCTTTTGCGTGAAAAATGAAGGGCTTAAAAGGGGTTTGCAAAGTATTGATTCATTAGATTATCAGATGAGTGAAAGTGGTATGTTTTTTTTTATATGAATGTAAAATTATTTGTATTTCATATTTTATTAATGACAATAAATATAGGCGATTCTGGTGTGATAGAGGAAGAAACAGCGAAAGAATTGGAGCATACCCTTCTCCAAGACTCCATGGATAAAGAGTTACATGAGTTAAATAAACGATTAGAACAGAAAAGAATCAGAAATGAGACTTTTTGAAGGATCTGATACCATGACTCTTAAGCAACATTTTGGAAAGAAATTAATGGAACTTGAGGATGAAAAACGGGCAGTTCAGGTAAAAACATAAGCATAACAAAACTATAGTTTTAAAGTTGGATCAAATCTTTTTTTTTTTTTTTAAATGATAATTGATGTTTTCTTGCTCATTTTTATAATTGTTGCAGATAGAGAGGGATCGATTGCTAACTGAAGTTGAAAACCTTTCTGCTTCTTCAGATGGACAATCACAAAAAATGCAAGATTTGCATTCCCACAAATTGAAGTCTCTTGAATCACAGGTTAATAATCTTGTTATAATTATAAATTTTATGCCTATTTGGATTCAAATGTACCAAATCAACAATCTTGATATAATTATAAAAAATTTATGCTTCTCAGATTCAGGATCTTAAGAAGAAACAAGAGAACCAAGTTCAGCTTTTGAGGCAAAAACAAAAGAGTGATGAAGCAGCAAAGAGATTACAAGATGAAATACAGTTCATCAAGGCACAAAAGGTGAGAAAAGATTATTATTATTATTATTATTATTATCATATCTCTTTATATAAGTAAATTTTCTGCTAATTTAAATATGGTTATAGGTTCAACTACAGCATAAGATAAAACAAGAGGCGGAACAATTCCGACATTGGAAAGCATCTCGTGAAAAAGAACTACTACAGGTATACTCGTATGATAATTATTATATATTAATTAATATATATTTGACTTAAATTAGTCTACGTATGCATATAAATTATGATCTTTTTTTTCTATTTAATTCCAGCTAAAGAAAGAAGGAAGAAGGAACGAGTACGAAAGACACAAACTACAGGCTCTTAATCAACGTCAAAAAATGGTGAGATTTTTTTTTATTATATTTGTTTTTTGTGTTACAATATCTTATTAAATATAATAATTATTCCATTATTTTCACATTTTTAGGTTCTTCAACGAAAGACAGAAGAAGCTGCAATGGCAACCAAGAGGCTAAAAGAATTGCTAGAAGCCCGCAAGTCTACCCGTGACAATTCATGTATAATTTTTTTCTTTTGTTATTATTACTTTTACTTCTGAATAAAAATCCTAATCATAAAGTCATCAATCTATTTCATATATGCAGTGACTAGCAACGGGAATGGAGCAAATGGACAGGTAAATACCAAGGGGTTATCTTGTAATTTTGATAAATCAAGGGACTTGAGTTGACATTAATAATTATGCTACGTTTTTAGAATAATGAAAAGGCAATGAAACGTTGGCTTGATCATGAACTTGAAGTGATGGTGAATGTGCATGAAGTTAGGCAAGAATATGAGAAACAAAGCCAAGTGTATGTAAATTGTAAATTTGTTATGTAACTACTATTATTCACAAATATAAATCTGTAAAAAACATTTTTCACTTTGGATCTAATTAATTTTTAAATTTTCTCCAGGCGGGCTGCACTTGCAGAAGAGCTAGCGGTTCTTAGACAAGTTGATGAATTTGCTACAAAAGGTGTTAGCCCTCCAAGAGGAAAGAATGGTTTCTCTAGGTAAAATTCTAATTCTTAGTAGATTGATTGAATTCAATCAACCATTTTTTACTAATTTCGGGTTTTTGTGATTTAATTATTTTATTAAAGGGCATGTTCTTTGTCACCAAATGCAAGAATTTCAAGAATATCTTCATTGGAAAACATGTTAAGTATTTCATCAAATTCACTCGTGTCCATGGCTTCACAATTATCCGAAGCAGAAGAACGGGAACGTGGTTTTGCTAACCGTGGAAGATGGAACCACCTTAGGTCAATGGCAGATGCAAAGAACTTGCTTCAATATATGTTCAACTCTTTTGTAGATTCAAGGTAAAAAAAATGGATTTTCAAAAATATAATTTTTTCGACTTATTGAATAACATTTTTATTGATATAATGTGTAAAATAGGTGTCAATCATGGGAAAAGGATCTCGAAATAAAGGAAATGGAAGAACAACTAAAAGAGCTCGTGGGGTTACTCCGACAAAGTGAGTTTAGACGAAAGGAAGCCGAGAAGGAGCTAGCTGTCGCAATCGCATTGGCTTCGTCAGCTTCAGTAAGAAAACCTAATTTTCTCTGTTATTTGTTATCTGCTCAACCACTAAAGTATTTTCCTATCCTGACGAAACAGGGAAACTCTCAGTCTCACAATTCATTGAAACACTTGGCGGATGACATGAGCGGTCCGTTATCTCCGAACTCCATTCCAGCACCTAAACAGTTGAAATACACGGCGGGAATAGCCAACGGTTTAGTGAGGGAATCGGCGGCGTTTCTAGACCAGAAGCGGAAGATGGTGCCGGTGGGGCTGAGGAAGGCGGCGACGGGAGGACATTCTCCGGGGAAACTATGGCGGTGGAAGCGGAGCCACCATCAATGGCTACTGCAATTTAAATGGAAGTGGCAGAAACCATGGCGGTTGTCGGAACTTATAAGGCATAGCGATGAAACGATGATGAGATCAAAGAATCGATCATTGGCAAATTTGCCTGAAGTCATGTATCATAGACACTAAAAAAGGTTTATATTGGTGGTAATTGGTGTTGTATATTCTTCATTTGGTGTTTAGATCAATGTCTTCCTTCCCTTGGATCAAGAGAAGAACATGTAGATGTGTTTTCTGGTTTCGTTTTTTCTTTTGTTTTTGTTAGTTGTATTCATAATTCGCTTGTAGTGAAACCCACGTGTTGTAGATTTCATCCTTATTGATAACAAAAAAATACAAACATGTAATTCTTGTCAAGAGTGTTTTCAATATTATCTTCCGTTTAAGCTCTTGAACACAATGAAAAAAATCATCTTGTACATGCATATTTTGTTCAAATACAACATTCAATTAAGCCCCAACAAAACCGGTAATCGTATTCAATTTAACCCTTTTACCCGGTTAAAAGTCATCCAACTTTCAAAAATTATATTTTTGGCCCAGATTTCAAAAACTTTTACAAATTAGGTCCAAAATTTATACTTTTGGCCCAGATTTTAAATTTTATTACAAATTTGGTCCAAATTTTAGAATTTTGTTATGAATTACCGGTTTTTGAGACTTAATTGAATAAAAAAAAGATATAATGACTAAATCGATTATAAGACCAATACGTTAAGGACTTTATTACAGTTTTCCCTTAAAAGAATTCATAATGTCATTGGTTTGGTTGGAGAAAATACAATATAATCCAATAACAAGAATTAAATAATTCTTAAATTTCTATTTATATTTTATAGGTTTTTGCTTATTGTACATATATGCAGTTCAATTCATTCCACTCTCCCTTGGAATGACGGAATCCATCAAACACAGAATTTGAAGGATTACAAAAAGAACTAAATTCCAGCCATTTAAACAAACAAACATGCTATGGAATGGAACGTCAGATTCCAATTCCATCAGATTCTACGGGAATCCACAGATCAATCATGCCCTTATGCCTTCCAGCTCAAATTTTCATCAACAATCAGCTGAAACCCGCATACTACAGATCTTTTCATGAAAGTTGTATATGGGATATATGTTGGTTTATTATTTGCAGATGCAAATTCAATTCGCTTTAAGAGATGTTCTATTACACCTAAAACCATTACATGTCAATATCATGAAAAAACCATGAAACTGGATCTCACCATTTACACACGGCCACACCAGAATGCATAGTGTTCATCCCTGCGATCATTGCTAACAAGGCCGCCACATTGTACACACACAAAGCTACTACCATCAGAGAATGCATCCACCATGATCTGTTTTCTCCCAGTCTCTGTCAGTATAGAAGTGCCGCCAGCATCTGGTTCAATAGATGGGTGGTTGGTGGTGGTGGTTGTGGGGATTGCAGGTAAAGCTTCTTCAATTGCACATTCAGCAAACAATGAAGCTAGCTCATCAGCAGCCCTTTCATTTACTCTGTTTCTGTAGAGTTCATTAGCTCGATTTAGGGTTTGAACAGCAGCTGCTTCTCCTCCTTTGGCTCTCATTGCAGTCAACACCTGTAAAATTAACGATATCATCTGGTTTTAAGATGGTTGATGCCATATCATTATCAAACAACTCTGAAGGCAAATCATGTAATGAGTTTAAGATGAACACAATAAAATCAAAGCAATTACAACCAAATATAAGGAACCGATCGTGGAGGAAAAAGAAAACTTTGATTCAATAGCATCGAAGCAAGTTCAAGTGCTTTGCTTCCTCTATTCTATAGAAAACCTAGATTTTGAATTTGAAGTTTGATCGCCGTTTTGCGATAAACAAAACAAATGCATTGATATTGAATTTTTAATAAGTATTACAAATTGGATCATGTAGGTTGAGGTTTAGCAACGGAATCATTACGAAATTTCTTTCCGATCACATCAACAAGTCAAAATGTAGGTCTGTTCATAACAGCTGGCATTCGAATCAGATAAAAAGGGAAATGAAGTAACAATAAATTATAAGAAAGAAATGAAGTGGTGATAGTGTAAGAATTACCGCTTGAAGAGCTTGAGAAGGCTTGCCCTGATCAATGAGTTGGCGAGCTACTGTGAGTAATCCTCTCGCAATTTCAATTTGCTGGGAGACGGAGGAAAGTTCGGGGGTTCCCGGAGGAACTGGTGACGAAGATGTCACCGGAGCATCGGAATCCATCATATCGACGTCCTTAGCATCCATGGCATTATCTCCAACTTCGTTTCAGTATCAAATGATTCTCAAGTGTGTTATGTGGCTAGGTTTTGTTTTTGGGTTCTTGTGCATATGTTCCTTTGCCTGATACCTTTGAATTCTATATATATTTTCAATAACGCCCCCTTTAAAACAGCCTATCTTTGAAGTTCTTGCTTTTGACTTTAATTTCATCCTTCACCTTCTTTATTTATTTATTTATTATTTTTTTTTTATTCAGCACTCATTTTTTGGTTGATACAATGAGAAGAAATCATTGTATCACAGTTTGTTGTAGTTTTTTAGGAACACATATCCATGGTTAGATCTTGGTGTTTTTGTTTTAATTGCTTTTGTTGCTATGTTTTCTTTCATGTATTCAAATAAGCATTAAAATCCACCAGTGGTATCAACAGCTTGTGTTGATGATTACTTACCTAGTCAAAAAACTTACCTAGTAAAAAATTATTTTTTGCTTGAAAGTGATGAGGTGTGATCTTCTACACACAAAAGAAAAATTATATGTATGATATATACACATCGAAATTTAATGGTTTTAAATAATAATGATTTATTCTCATTCAGTGAGATAGAATTTTTGTTTATTATGTTTCCCGAATGTTTTAATTTATTTGTATATATTGTTTGGATGGGTTTTGAATGGAAATCATACAAATAGTTATATGGAACTTGCTTGTATGTTTATGTTGTGTCATTTGTTTTTAATGACATAATAACAACAAAGATTAATTATCTTAAATGCCAAATTGTATGTAAATTGATCATAATTGAAACATTATTTAAAAGTATGATTTTTTTACACACCGCCCCTTGAGCTCAACATGCCGAGCTTGGCAGCCAACTCCACAGAAACTTGCCATTTTTCTCTCATATGTTGCCACACTCTCTTTTCTCCTTTCTCCCCTGTTTGGCATGACAAACACCATCCCTTTTGTATGACAAAACTATAGGAAAGTGTGACAAAATGATGTGGAGCTCTGCATCTTCTACCACCAGTCATATGAGCTTTAGTAATCATGAATCATTGTGAACTCGTCAATAGAATGTCCAAAAATTATGTTTATGATCAGATAAAACCTATGAATAAAGCCAAATAAATGGGTGTTAAGAAGTAAATGAGTTGCTTCGTGCTCGTACATTTATCAACCAAAAAACGAGTGTTGCATATGAAAAAAAAAGGTAAAGGGTGAAATTAAAGTCTAAAGCAAGAACTTCAATAATCAATAGAGAAAAAAAAGGGTTGCAAGTAATTAAAAGATGTGATTAAATAAGAGGACGACAGTGACAGTTTCCAAAGCATATAGGGTATTTTTGGAAAAGGGAAAAAAGAAAAAACAAGACAAAATTACAAGTTTGGTCCCTGTGGTATGTCAAAAATTGGAGGTTTGGTCCAAAAAGTTTTGGAGTTGCACTGGTAGTCCAAAATGTTTGTTTTGTTGTAGAAATAGTCCAATGGCTTAATAGTCGTTTATGCCCTCCGTTTGTGTGAGGGTAAATCTATCAATTCCTATGTTCTCTTTTAATATCTGATTAAATTAATACCCCCTTATTAATTGTTATCTACCGCCAAATCCTACTTACCTTTTTGTCGATTCCATCTCATATCACATTCGTCTTCGTCTTACATTATGCAATCAAAAGCCCTAATCTCAAAGTTAAGGGTTTTTGTTCTGATCGCAGTTGGTTTAGTGTATGAACATACCAATGTGGAATTTAATGCTCTTAGACAACCCGTTCAACCCAAAGGTGGCTTATGGTAAGTTTTCTTGCATTTTCTATATACATTACATCATGTATTTTTGTGAAATAATGTTTTTGAAATTGCTTTTGTTCTTGATTGAAGATGGACATCCAAAATTGTTTAGCATCAAACTATACCATAGAGGCGAGTTCACCAAGTTTCCTGATGTTCAGTACATTGAGGGAAGAGTGAACTATGTTGACATGGTGGATATAGACAAGTTTTCAATCCATGAGTTGGATGTCATCATGAGAGGGTTAAGGTACGGTGTTCCACCAGTAATTTAATGTCACTTCCTTGTGCCCTGTGGAGACTTTCACTTTGGTCTTAAACCTTTAGGCAATGATGACGACTTACGTAATTTTGCCCAATATGTGAGTGATCATAAACTCATGAGGGTATATACTAAACATGGTGAGACAAAGTTACTTACCATCCTAAACCTGTGAGGAAGGTAACTATTGTACAAATGGATGAAATAGATGAAATGATGATAATGAAAACCCCATAACTGAGGTACAACCATTAACAAGCCCACCTAGATCATCCCCTATTTTAGAAGAACCATTACCAACTCCAATATCTCCTGAGTATAATTTGATAAAGATTTTGAATAAGGACAAAGGGATGTCATTTTGTAGTAAGAGATTGAGCTTGGACAATGAGGTTGATGTTAGTATTACAGGAGATAAAGATAAAGAGCTTATAGCAAATGACTTTATTGAGGCAGCTAGTGTGACAACCCAGAGAAAGCGTCATCAACCGTCGTTAGTATTTAACGATAGAGCGTTATATGTAATAAGGACAAACTTGTAACCATCCGATATATTTTAATATATTCGAATATTTCATCCCTAAATACGTCAACCTTTAGGCTAAAAAATAAGTGCACAAAAAGTCGCGTCACTTTGAGAGCAGGTTAGCATATTTAATCTCTTTAAGCCACCGCAATTCCAGAAAGATAAATTTCGCAAGAATCCGACACATTATGGGTGAGATATGACAGTTATAGTAAATAAATATCTACCGTACTTAAAAAGTTAAAACGACGAAAACTACAAGAAGATTGGTTGAATTTTGGAAAAACTCACCAACTAGGCAATCGTAGTACTACTTAAAGTAGGAATTATGAGGCAAGGAACGCCTAAAACAGAAACCATAAGAGAGAGTTATGATTTTTATAAAATCATAACGGTAATAAAAACTCGTCGAAAAACGAAATTCAAAACTAGACAAAATGACCAAAAGGAAAAGTTGTAGAGAATAACGATACCTACACAGATATATAAGAGTCGTTGAGAATGAGGTTCATATGCGCGAGAGTTGTGGAATTTTTACCTTCATGCGTGCTTGCGCACAGTGCGCCGCGCGCACTTGACTGTCGATACGTCTGGATACGGAGTGACGTGGCATGCGGAGAGGACGACACGTGGCAACATCCTACGGTTCACAGGCATTTGTGCGATGCGCACTCCAAAACTTGATATAAATAGCAAGCTTTGGCACATCAGTTTCCTTACCCCTCTCATCTGTTATCTCTCGGCCTTGATCCGCGTGTCACCGCCCCCGAGCGCCTCTTGAAGTGCTAACTTGTGGTTTCTACCCTACATCAACGTTTTCATAACTCACGGGTGAGTTCACGACCCCCTTTTCAAAACCTTTTCGGGGGGAATACATGTTTAAAATACACCTTTACATAGTTATTACTAATTATAGTTAGATAATTATGCTCATAACATAAGGATGATATTATGCCTAGTAGATACTCTGCCCAAACTCTTTAGCTAATATTATGCCTAGTTGTTATATTGAACCGCAATGATAGATAAGATCATACCTAGTTGTCATGTTGGCTAGTTGTCAGGAAACGTTGAAACTCGTTATTATAGCCACCCTTTGGATAAGCTTAATACTTAGTTTTACTCTACCCAAATACTCAGATATGCAAAACACACTAGCTATATATATATATATATATATATATATATATATATATATATATATATATCATTATTATATATAAAAACCTTGTTTTTCTCATGCCTCCAAAATCAAATTTCCAACCTTCATTAAACGCCACGTCACCTATATTCTAACGACGCCATTGACGTCGATTCACACCGCCTAATTTTCTCCAGTGCACCGTATCCGCTTCCCCTTGTGACCTACCTTACCATACAACCGCTCCTCTTCGTGCAGAACTAAATTGGCGACGCCTTCCCTCTACTAAATATCTTCTCCAAGGTGCCCGATATGCCATCGCTTCCCCCATTGTCTTACTTCTTCACGAACTTCATGGAAGGTTCAGGGAAACGGCTGCTCAATCCGCCTCTTAACCTTTCTTCTAAACGAGGCCATGGAGAATAACGCCGATTCACATTTCCGCCATGGAGAATAACATCGAATCGCATTGCCTCATATTCCCCAATCTGATGTATCGATTGATCACCGACATGGATAATCGATCCCATTTTTGTTTCATGACATACCCTTTGTGATGTTAAATTCCTCATACAGGGGTTATAATATTAGGGGTTGCCACCAATTATAATACCGACGACGCCTCCTCTAAAAAAACCACAATTACACACAAAATTGGTGCAAGTTTTTTCATTCATCCACCGGCTATCTTCTTAACTCTTATATGCTTGAACGATGGTATTGCTATTGATTTCATTCTTATGTTTTTCATGTATGTTTATTGTTATGTTACGATCTTCATTAATTTCTTTATAATTGGGCTTTTATATAATCCAGGGGATTCATTGAATTTGTCTCCAGTTGTTCTGGATGGCAACAAACTCTTTTTCTCCAATTTCTTGATTTCTTGGTTGTTGATTTTTAATCATGGCAACGGAAAAAGGTATTATTTATATACCTTTTGGAATACGATTGTTTTCAAGTTGTTATAGTTCTATTGGTGATTTGGGTTGGATGTGTTTTTGTTAGTTGAATGATAAGGATGCACTAGCTTCATTCAATAGATGATTTCAAGACAGCCCCGTCTTATTCTTATGTGTTATCTTCCTGTTAAGTTTTACTTTTTCATCCCAATTTTATTCAAATGTGCAAGAAATTAGGATTTCTGTAATATTTGCTTCTTTTCCTCCCCAACAAGGTTTGTATTATTGATTGTTGTTTTTATTTCATTTCTTTGAGTGTGTATTGAGATTAATTCAAAGGAAAAAAAATTTGGTTTAGTTAGTTTTAATATAAATAAAATGTTTTCAAGCGCATAAAATTGAATTATTGTTTATTTTGAGTGGATTGTTTTTGAAATTTGATAAACCTTCTTCATGTATCAAAAATATACAAAACAAGTGGTAAAATGGAGTCAATTTCTTATCT